GCAGCCACGCCCGTCACTAGGGCTTATTCTCGGGGTCCGGCTTACATTGCACCAATGCTTAGAGATCCTGCTGGGGCTTATTTTATGGGTAGGTCTTATTCTCGGGGAAACACGGTAGACACAGCACGGCCACACAACCCACACACGGACCGCGATTCGGCCGTAAAAAGGAGTGGGGCGCTGACACTCGCCACCACGCCGATGCACCTTGGGGACCTGCGGCGTGAAGGGTGCGGACACACAGCCCACGGGCGCGGGATTCCACTTCCATGAACTATCCAGAATAGGCAGACCCGTGGGGACAGGAACCAGATTGGTGGCCGCCCGGGGCTCCAGGCGGGGAGGACGGGCGGTCGGTTCCCTAGACGGGGTCGCCTTTCCCGCCGATGAGAACATTCTGGAACCAGATGGTGGTGGTGGTCATGCAAGAACGTCCTAAATGCCACTGGATTGTCCACTTTAAGAGGATCAATTTATGTGATGTGAATTTCACCTCAGTAATAAAGGAAAATGCCCAGAGTGGGACACAATGCTTTTAATAAGACAAAACCCAGAGAAACCCAAGCGGCACGGGGCAGAGTCTGCAGCGTGGCAGTGAGGCCGACCGACTGGCCCTTTGCTTCCTGCCAGGGAGGAGGGAGGGGGAACCGCCCGAGCCCTGTGACCCCCACCCGGGCCTGGGCCACCAGGGCCGGGGGAGCCGGTGCCGGCTGTCTGTCTCGGTGGGTAGGCGGTGGCGGCGGGCGGGGCGTTCTCCAAAGCTGGTGGAACTGGCACCTGCTCCGAGCTGACAGATGGCCTGTCCCCTGGGCAGCCCCTCGGGTTCCATTTCTGTTCAGAGCTGCCCCTCCTGGCGCCCACTCGGGGCTGAGCTGGCCTGGCAGGGCCACAGCGGCCACCTCTCAGCTCTGAGGGAGGCGGCTGTGCCCCGCCCCCACGCATGGCAGACACCTGCCCCTGGGGAGGCTCCGGTCTAAGGCCCCGCTCACCTTCCTGCAGGAGCACCTGTGGGGGGGCAGGCCTCCCTTCTGTGCTCCTGGGGTCCTGCACTGGGCCCCCATCAGGGCTGTGGCCTGAGGGGCCCCGGGGACCCTAGAGGTGCCCCTGAGAGGGCTGGGCAGGGAGAGGGGGCTGTGGCGGGTGGGAGAGGCACCCGTGTGTGCTGAGGTCCTGCTGTGCCCACGGTGGTGCCCTGTACGTGGGCCTGAGCACGGAAGTGCTGGCGTGGCTTATCGGGGTTTGCATTCTCTCTATATGTATCTCAAAGTACCACTGTGTACCTCATGAACAGGTATAATTATTGTGCTAGTTAAATACACTTAAAAATTTTAAAGTTTATAGGAGGAATTTGAGAAAGTGCTGACCTTGCACCCCCCAAGGGGCCTGTATTCCCCACTCTGCACCCTCCCCACCGCCTAACCCCCACGGGAGGTTGGTTTGTCGTCCCCCCCCAAATAGGTCCAAGTCCTGACCCCGATGCCTGTGAATGGGCCCTTAGTTGGGAACAGGGACTTTGCGGATGTAATCAAGTCGAAGCCAAGGAGCGCCGGGGCCCCCAGGAGCCGGAGGAGGCATGGGGACCCCCCCCAGCCTGTGGCGGGAGCCCCGCCCCGCCCTGCCCTGCCCCATGCTGATCTCAGACTTGCAGCCTCCAGGGCTACACAAGAATCAATTTCCGTGGTTTTAAGCCCCCCTGCCACCTGTGGTCATTACTCTGGCAGCCCCAGGACCTGGTGGCACACTCTGCTTCCTGTCCTTCCTCCCACCCCATCCTCCGCCTGCCCCACTGGGGGACACTTCCCTGAGCCTCCGAGTCTCAGTCCGCAGAAGGGGACCCTACTGGAGCCAGCCTCAGGCAGTGAGGGTCCCCCAGTGCTAATAAATGACATTCGATGTCACCTAGGCCGGGGGCCTGGAGGGGCCTGGGAGGAGACAAAGACAGCTGCCGTCCCCCAGGCTGGCGTGGCTCTCTGGCCCCCCCCCCCCCCGGGCCAGGACACGGGGTCACCCTTCCTGAGCGGCCTCAGGCTCCGAGAGGGGGAGGTACTGCTCCCCTCTATTCGAAATGGTGGTGTTTTGCTCGTCATGGTCTCAAAAGTTAACTTTGACTCTTTAAAATGTTATATTAAAACATTAGTTACTTTGATTACTAGGTGTTTTTTTTGTTTGTTTGTTTGTTTTGAAACAGAGTCTCTCTCTGTCACCCGGGCTAGAGTGCTGTGGCGTCAGCCTAGCTCACAGCAACCTAAAACTCCTGGGCTCAAGCGATCCTCCTGCCTCAGCCCCCTGTGTAGCTGGGACTACAGGTCCCCCCACGTCCGACTAACTTTTTTGTTTTTAGTAGAGACGGGGTCTCGCTCTTGCTCAGGCTGGTCTCAAACTCCTGAGCTCAATGGATCCGCCCGCCTCGGCCTCCAGAGTGCTGGGATTACAGGTGTGAGCCACCGCGCCCGGCCTAGGTTTGTTTTCAACAGCTTTATTGAGATATAAATCACATACCATAAAATTCACCATTTTAAAGCACAACTCAGGGGTGTCTAGCATGTCTGCAAGGTTGTGCAGCCATCATCACCTTTATGCAATTCCAGAACATTTCCATCTCCCAGAAAGAAGCCCTGTACCCCGTAAGCAGTCACTCCCCTTTCGCCCCTCCCTGGGCTTCCAGCACCCCTGGCTCACTTCCTGCCCCTGTGGAACGGTCTGTTACGGACAGGTCACAGAAACGGGATCGCACGCCGCACACGGCCGTCTCTGACCGGCTCCTTTCGCTTGGTGTGATGTTTTCATGGGTCTCGGTGTGTCGGAACTTCAGTCCTGTGTATGGGCCGGATAATATGGCACCGTGGGGACGGACCTCGTGTGTTTACCCATGAACTTGGGGGACCGAGCCTGCGCTGTCCCGGGCAGGAGGACCGTCCTCCTGGCAGCAGCCTCGGGCTCCGGCCTCCCCAGCCGGCACTCAGCTCATGAGGCCCAGGACCAGGCTCAGGGCTGACCCAGAAGCCTTGGGCTCTTGGGGTCCCCGAAGGGATGGATACCAGCTCCTGCCCCCAAATCCAGGAAGCAGGCAGACAGCTCCCTGACAGGCCCGGCCCCCTAAATCCCACCACCCCAACCTTCCCGCCCCACAGCGAGGCGAGCAGAGTGGAAGGTGCTGGGCAAAGGGTCAGGTCAAGGGGGGAGGGGCCCTCAGAGCCTCTTGGGGTCAAAGGTCACCGTGCTGCAGGAGCATTGGGACTCCTGGTTGTGCCAGTGCACCTGGGAGAAGGGGTGCTGTCCAGGTTGAATGGGGTGGGAGTGCCGGGCCTGGGTCTCCCTGGTGGTCTCCCTGCCCTGCCCGGACCCCCGGGGGACCCGCAGCACGAAAGCCAGCCGTGTGTGTGCGCAGGTGTGTGCGTTCGCTGGTGCGCCCGAGAACACGCCGGCCCTTGCTGTCTGCCGACCCCGGTCACGGAGGCAGGTCACTGTGGACACAGAAGGTCTGGACAGAGGCTCTCTCCCAGCCCCAAGCTAGTGTCCACTTGGGGCCACCGGCCATCTCCCCCTGCTCAGGCCCAGGTGTCTGGGGCACCTTCCAGGGTGGGCAGAGGTGGGCCCTGCTGTGCCGGACTTTGCCTCCTGGGCTGGGGAAGGGACGGGAGGCCCCGATGGTGGCCCAGAGCTGGGAGCCCAGCACCCAGTGTCCACCCTTGTCCCTCACCCTGGGTGCACTCTGGGGTCACAGCCCTCTACTGTGACGGGGCCACCTCTAGCCCGTCCCTGCCTGTGCCAGCCATCCTTGCCAGCCACCCCCAGAAGGGACACACTGGATGGGGGCAAAGCCTTTGACACCTCCCAGGGCAGGGACCTCCTGTGGCCATTCCACCCACGCGGCCCCTTGGTCTCAACGGCAGCCTGGGGGTAAAGCCCTTCCGAGCCCACAGCTACATAGCAGGGCCAGTGAGAAGGTTCTGGAAACCCAGCCCCCCAAAGGTCTGAGGCGGCCTGGGGGCTGGCTGCTCACAGCAGGGGACCCCTGAGGTCTTTGGGGGACACGGTGGGGGCCCCCTGCTTTGCCCATATGGGGTGGACTTGCTACCCAGGGGCCACTTTGGGAAAAGAGGGGGAGGGTCCTGGCACCCCCTCTAACCCTGAGGCCCTGGGCACTCTGTCCCTGTCCCTGCAGACGCCTCCACAGAAACGGGTCCCCATGGGTCTTTAGGGCCCTGCTGGGGACAGGCGTCCCCTCCACCTGCTCCTGCAATACCCCTGCCCTCCAGCCAGCCCTGCCAAGGGGCTTCACCTCCTGGGCCAAGAAGGAGGGAACGAATGAATGAATGAGTGAATGAAGTTTCATCAAACTCCTCTCTGTAAATCTCCATTGCTCCCAGCTGGGTTGGCAGGGGTGCCCCCACCCAGCATGCCCTGCCCACATTGACAGGGCTGCAAGATGGCGCTGGGGGAGGGGGAGGGGAGGAAAGGGGGAGGGGAGGGGAGAGGACTGTCCCTGAGCGCCCAACCCCAACACGCCTGCCTTAAGCCGCCTGGCTCTGCTCATTCCGGGTGGGGGCGGCTAATTCCTTCTCCACGGTTGTCGCAGCCTGGCACAGGCGCAGGCAGTGTGTGCAAAAATAGCCCCCCCACTGCCGGCGCAGGTGCCGCCCAAAGGGTTAGACCCCAGCCGCCCCAAACCTGCCAGGGGCCCTCAGCGTCGCCTGCCCCCGCTGCGTGCCCGCGTTCCCTCACCTGTCCGCGTGCACCGTCCTGCCTCCGGGCACCGCCCCTCCCCCGCCTCGCCCTCCGCCCCTCCTGCCTCCGTCCCCCTCCCTCCCTGCCCCCTCCCTTCCCGCCGCGCTCGCCTCCAGGCCGTCCCGCGCCCCTCACCCCCCCCCCGCGAAGGGCACCCGCGCGCGCTCCCGCCGTTCGGCTGCAGCGTTGCGGGCGCCGCCCCGCCGCCCCGCCCGCGCGGGCCTGCGCTGCGCGGCCTGGGCCGGCGGCCGGTGGCACCTGCGCGGCCGCGGGCGAGGCTGTGGCCGGCCGGGCGCCCTGAGCGTCCTGAGCGCCGCGCAGCCGGGTCGCCCGCCGCGCTGGCCCGGCCATGTCGTCGTCCTTCTTCAACCCCAGCTTCGCCTTCAGCTCGCACTTCGACCCCGGTGAGTGCCCGCCCCACCTGCCGCCGCCGCTTTGCGGAACAGCCTCCCCCCCCCGCCCCCCGCGGAGCGCCGGACCCCGGATCCGCGCAGGGGGCGGGCTCGGCGCGACCGGGCTCCCGCGGCCTCCCCAGCGCCGCTGGCATCGCCGCCCGGCTCCGCGGTGCCGCCGCGCAGGTAACCGGGGCGCGCGCGGCCTGCCGCCCGGTGGCCGCAGAGGAGGTCGCCAGGACCGGGGGCCGCGGGCTGCTGCGGGGTCGGCGGGCGGGGGCGCGGGCCTGCGGGGGCCTCTGGCTGGTCCACAGCCTTGGTGCGAGGCTCCTTCGCAGGCCCGCGCGGTGCGGGAGTCCGGCCTGGGCACCGAGGGCCGTGGGGGGAGGTGGGCGCCCACCCGGCAGGGGCCCAGAACAGACGGGCCTCGGCCTCGCGGTGCCCAGACCCCAGACAGTGGGGGCTGAGAGGGGGCTGGCGGCAGGGCGGCAAGCCTTGAACCCCCACCGCCAGTGAGCCGGCCGGGGCTTGTTTACCCGCGGCTGCCTGGCCTCCTGGCTGCGCTGGGCAGCTGGGGTGGGCAGGGGGTGGGGGCCAGCCGGAGGCTGCATCTGCCACCAGGAGGGGGGCCTCCTCCCTCTGCCTTCTCCACCTCCGGCCTCTGCCCGGCCTGAGGGGCAGACAACCGCCTGCCCTGGGGCCGTGGCTGGGGGCCCCAGGCCCACCCACATGCCACCGGGGCTCGGGCACCAGGCTAGTCCCACCTAAACACAGTGTGCCGGCATGTGACGGGCTCTCCCGGGTCTCCCTCCCTGGCGCCAGGCCCAGTGCTTGGCGTTGCAGTGACGCCGGGTCCCCTGGGCAGAGACCCGTCTGAAGGCATTCGCTGCTGGGGGAGGGGAGCTGACGGGACACGTCTGCTGGGCGGGTGGCTGCGGGTGTCGCCGGGGCAGAAACAACTTCCCAGAGTGACCCCGGGGCTCAGAGATGACAGGGCGGGGGGATGAGCGACTGGCCAGGGGCAGGGGGTGGCCTGGTGAGCAGCCCCAGGCCCAGACAACTGCAAGGGCTGGGTGTCCGGGGCGGCTGGGGGCCCGCACTCCATGCAGCAGGCCAGGGCTTCTCACGCCTGCCCGGCGGCCTTGTGCAGTGCGCTTGGTCCGTCCTGCCGGGAGGCGGGGTCCCGGGTGCAGGCGGTGGCCTTGGAGCGGTTGGCAGGGCGGGAGGGGCTGACCCCAAAACAGAGCCTCCTGCACCTCCCTCCCATGCTGTCCGCTGGGTGCAGAGTCGCCCTGGGGGGGCTGTCACCCCCCACACACAGCGGGGGCGTTGGGGGCACCAGAGCCCCTCCCCCCACCTGTGCCTGCTTGGTGAGAGCTGCGGTCAGCGTGATCACAGCGTGTCAGTCTAATGACTTAAGAGGGAAAGGAGTTGTGGGGCAGGACGCGCAGCTGAGCTGTGGACGCCGGCTGGGCTCCCGTCCCACCGCCAGGAGCGGCTGGGCCTGCAGGGCTGTGTCAGCCCCCATGTGGGCGTGGGGGTGGGGTGGGGTCGTCCGGCCTCCCACTAAACTCAGCCCAACCTTCAGAGCCTGACCGTCCCCTGTGGAGGTCCCTCTGCCCTCAGTTTTCCCATCTGTAAAAAGGCCTGACCGTGCCCATGGCCAGGCCCAGGCGGGGTTAAGTGCTTGGCGGGTACTTGGCACTCAGTACACAGACCGCTAGTTCAGAGGTGGGTGGTGCACGGACAGAGACCCTGGTCCCCTGAGCCTCCCCGTGGCCACAGTGGCCTGCTGGGGACTGCCTCCCTCCAGGGTGCAGTGTCTGGGGGTCCTGCTGGGTCCCCCAGAACGCGGAGCGGGGGGCTCACATGTGTGGCCGTGGCAGGGTTTGTTTCCGTGGTTGCTCCACAGCCCGCGGCAGCGCCAGGCGCCTGGGCGTGGGGTCCTGACAGCCGCCGGGCCACGCCCCGTGCCTGGGGCAGCTCTTCATCCACCACAGGTCCCCGTAGAGGTGACAGCACAGGTGGCAGGGACAGCGGAGAACGAAGAGGCTGAGTTAGAGGCCAAGGCCCAGGCACACGCTGGGGGCTGCCTGGGCCCACCCCCCACGGCACTGGTTGGATATGGGGACAGAGGGGGCCAGGCCCCAGAGCCGTTCCCAGGTGACTTCGGCGAGCATCTGGAAGGGCCACCTCTTCTGGGGGCTCCCCGAGGCTCCCTGGCACCCAGGATGTGGGTGACCACAGGGGATTTCTTGGCAGTTGTAGCCCTACAGTGTCTGCGCTGTGTGGCCTTGGGCCAATCGCTCAACCTCTCTGAGATCAGCTCTGCGCAGGTGAGACCTCACCCTGGGGAGACCAGTGGGCAGGACATGGAAGCCAAGAAGAGAGGGTGACAGGGTGCCCTGGGGGCCCCAGGAGAGCTGGGCCCGTCCGGGAGGGAGGGGTGGCATGGCCTTGAGGGAGCAGGGTCACCTCCCCTCTGGAGGGCCCCGAGGCAGAGGCCGACCTTGTTTCTCGCCCTCCCCGGCATCAGTCCAGCCAGGTGTGGGCAGAGGGACCTCAACAGGTGCCCAGCAGGTGCAGTCCTGACCCCGGCGCCTGGAGCTGTCCGAGGCTGCCCTCCCCACCGGAGCGCTTGGCATAGGGGTAGGGGTGGGGCCACCTGTGGGCCAGGAGCGGGGGCTACTCACTGGCTCTTTCAGGACTGTCTGGCCCTCTCTGTGCCTCAGTTTCCTAATCTGTAAGGTGGGGATGACTGAGGGGTCGGTGGTGTGGAGCACTGAGCTGAGGGTGCCTGGCCGGGGCGGGGCGCCGGGAGGGGTCCCGGGGCAGGTGCCCCAGCCTGGCCTCGCGCTCGCCAGCTTGGCACGGGCGAGCCAGGCACCTGGCGGCCGCGTTGACAGGGAGGGCGGAGGAGTACACGAGCCCCAGGCTGGGCCGGGTCTGAGCAGCACGTGGGCAGAGCTGGACTTGGAGGATCGGAGGGCCAAGCAGGACCCCGGGAATGGGCCAGGCTCATCCTGCGAGGCCGCTGCTGGATGATAACATGCCCTGAAAGTTGTGGCCCCCCAGTGAGGCAGCCGAGCATGGCGGGCCTGGCCCCCCCCCTCCCCGGGGGAAAGCTGTGCCTGCCAAGGGCGTCTGTCCCCACGGAGACCCTGGGGACACAGGCGGGCGGGGGGGCGGGGTGCTGGAGGGGTCTGCGTGGGAAGGCCGGGGAGGCCGAGGTCTGGTGGGGGAGGGGGCCCCGGAGGTGGCCCCCCTGGCCGGTCTGGGTGCGTGCACTTGGGGAGGGGGTGACTTTGAAGCCACAGACCCCCTGCGGGGGCTGGGGAGACAGGCACTTTCACTGTGTCACATCTTCGGGAGGCCTGGCTGTGCCCTTCCCGCCGCGGGGCAGTTCGGTGACCCGAGGACTGCCCGGGCCCTGGGCCTGCAGGAGTGAGCGGCCCTGGCTCGTGGCTCTTGCGTCATGTGGCCACATAGGAAGGTCCACCTGGAGCCTCTCTGAGTTTTGGGGGGCAGAGACTCCCCATCATGCCTACTGCCTGCCACCTGGTCCCCTCCATGGAGGAGGTCAACCAGGGTCCTGGGCCGGCTCTGCTGTGTGACTGTGGACGTGTGTCTCAACCTCTCTGTGTCCGTTTCACCTCTGGGGCGGGGTTCGGCAGCACCCACTCCTGGGGCGTTCCAGAGAGACACGTGCCCGTGGGGACAGGCCCAGGGCTGCCACGAGGCCACGCCCTCTCCCCGCTCGCCTGCAACTGGGCGGCCTGGGTAACGTGACCCCCCAACCCCCCTCGTGCTGGGGCTCCTCCCTGCGCCCCACGTTCCCAGCTCCGGGGCCCCGAGGGCATTTGTGCGCCCCCAGGACCGCAGACCGGGGCCGTATTTGGAAACGGGGTCTTTGATGGAGTCAAGATGAGGTCGGGCTGGTGAGGGTGGGCCCTGAACCCGGTGACGGTGTCCGCCGGAGGACAGGAGGGGGCACAGGGACTCACGGGAAGGAGGCCAGGTGGCCGCGGAGGCAGAGGCTGGGTGACACAGCCAGGGAGCACGTGGAGGAGGCAGGAGGGACCCCCAGACGCCCCGAGGGAGGCCGCCCCACAGACACCCCGGCTGCAGGCTCTAAGGATAAAGTCCTCATTTAGGCCACCAGATGGTTAGGGCAGCCCCGGGACACAAGAGCCTGAGGCCAGAGGGGACAGCCTTGCCTGGGGCCACGCTGGCCTTCACACCCGCCCGGTCTCCTCAGTGTAAACGCCGACGGTGACAGCCCCTGGAAGGCCCATCCCCCCCTGGAGTAAAACATGAGGACGCTGGTGTCCCGGGCCCTGCAACACGCCGGGTCACTTGAGTGCCATGTGAAGAGGTGGCCTCCAGCCTGCACGGTGTCCCCAGGGGTCCGTCCCCACGCCGCCGGACCCCAGGCGGGGACTGGAGAGTCCACTGCTCGCCCGCTGTCTGCTTGGCCGTGGCGAGTGGGCCTGCTGTCCCTGGCCACCGTCTCCTGCTCCTCCTGCCACTCGGCCAGGCCCGCCTCTGGTGCGGCTAAGGGTGGGAATCCCCGTGGGCCCCGGCCTGCTGTCCCCTGGGCCTGCTGCCCTGTCCCCAGGCGGCATGGAGGGGGTGGGCCCAACAGCCCGTGTCCGTGGGAGACCCCCGTGGGCCCTGTCCACGGGCCACGGCGCGGGGAGGGCCCTGGAGTCAGGCCCGGCCTGCCTTCCGCAGAGGAACTGGCGCCCGCGGACGGGCGGCCGCAGCCTCCCTGCCCCCAGCGGAGGAAGCGGCAGAGGAAACGAGGGCAGGGGCCGGCCGAGCCAGTTCCCAGGCCGCTTCTCTGGGCGGACGGCTGCAGTGTAGGCGGCGTCCACACTGAGTCCCTCCCTGACTCTGGGGTCAGGGGGCTGGGCGGCTCGGGGGGCGCGGGTGGGGGTCCTCCTGAAGGTCACTCTGGGGTCAGAGCCGCGGTTGGAGCCACGCGGGAGTGGCCGCCCAGAGCCGGTACG